TTTTTTTTTTTTTTTTTTTACGTCCTCTATGTAAAAGACAAAGGAAGTCGCACACTGCAGGTCTATAACTGGCACATGGAACAGCAGGCAGCATGTATACCACGAGTATGCACACAGCAGGTCGCAGTCTCTCTTCAGTCTGAAATAATTACTGAGCTCTTAGGTTTCTGAGCTTTGTTCTGTGCTATGCTGTTGGCCATACAATGCTAATTTCATGTTGCTATGGTAATATAGTCCTTTTATGACAGTTTCCAGAAACTCAGGAGAAATAGTACCTGCCTGGCTGGTTTCTCAAAAGTATTTAAAACTGGAATATTATATACTTGTTTTCTTCCTTTTTAGTTTTTAATGCCAAGAAGAGAAACATCATAAATTTACTTGACCAGCGAGATAAGCGGAATCATACACTCTGAATCAAACTGGTATCGCATACTTCATTGTCAGGACTGAACAGATCACTACAAGCTATTCATGACTGACTGAGTACCCAAAGCTGTGTAATGTACTAAGTAAAGTGTACATCTAAAGATGACTGTGTGAGTTTAGTATGTACTTTCTGTAAGAAAATTGGAACTGTCGCAACAAACAGGGACAGTATTTCAGGGGTACTCTTTGTAACAGGATCTCAGAATCTGTCAAAGCTTTATGGCTACCAAGTATTTCATGAGAAGGTCACTTAACAGAGAACAAGCTCTCCTTCCAATATGGCGACAGTGGAGCTTCTTTATTCTGGAATCTAATTTTGTATTTAGCAGGCTGTAAGAAGCCTATCTGACAGGGAGGAGATGGGCTGTGCAGACCCTGGTCTGGCTGGCTCCCTCTCGAGTCCTCTCCACAGTCCTCGCCTGCTGCTAGTGCCAGCCTGTCTGTCACTCCTGCTCCTGTGCCCTCCTCCCGACTGACCACACATGGCCCCAAGCACTGACTGTTAGCACAGACATCGTTAGCAGCAGTTTTAAGACTACTTGTATAACGAGCTTTGTCATTTTTATGAGACACTACTGATTTACAATTTGAGCGTTACTTTGCTTACTTTGCCTATGCGTGGGCAAAGCGAAATCTCTTATGTATATGTGATCAAGAGGAACAATGACTGAATTAGACTTCTGACAACAGGGGCCAAAACAGAGCTGGCATCCTCTGTGGCATAACCATGGCAGAGCCCAGCGCCGTGACAGCACTGAGGACAGATCTGTACCCCCTTTATCATCAAGGTAAAAGAAACAAGTTGCTCGATGCTAAAGTGTTATGAAATGGGAATGTCTAGAAAGGCAAAATATGCTATGTCTATCTTTGTGTTTACACAGTTAGATCTGGTAAATAACTCATAAAACTGATTTAAAAACCCAAGGCTGATGTTAATTTTGACAATGACTGCTTCATCACAGTTTGGCAATAATGAAAGCGAGGTCTGACCTGATTCTCCACACTGATGCTAAATAGACTCTTCCCACTTGTGAGTCACGCTGATGGCTTGATCTTCGGGACCATTTGGTAACCACCTCACTTCTGGAGGAGAGTGGGCCCGAAGGTCCCAGAGCGTCTGGCTGCAGGGCTGGCCTCCCCAGAGGGTGCAGTCTCTGGCCTGCGGTCCACAAAGGCAGGCCCGTGTGTTCATTCACGTGACAGTCTCCAACGTGCATGTTCATGTGCGTCTAAGATTCAGCTTGTCCACTGAAAAGGCAACTAAAGAAAGTATGGAAGTACCTTTATAGACTTTCTCTTAAGTTGTTCTCTACTCTCCTTTTGTGTCCTGGTCTTAGTGCTGACATGAATTCTCTTGCTTTCTCAGTAAAGTATTCACCTCATGTTTAATGTGTGTAAAGCTGCTGAGAAATAAAGTACGCCATTTGTTCAACTTTTAAAACTTTCATTGTTTTTAGCTGTTTTCCCTTCACACCATTAGATCCCTAAAGAGTCACCTGTCACACTGTGGAAATTGTGGTTTGCCTTAAATCTTTCCTGGGATACGATAGGATATCACTATAAGTAAAAATTAGCTATGCTGCTTTCAACTTAGCCTTTAGGTATACTGGGGTGTGGAGGAAGAGTTCTGGTATAAGCTTGAGTGTTACTAATCTGCCTTTCAAAGATGTGGCCAGATGACAATACTGGGATCTCCAGGGTGGCGACCACATCTGCCTCTTTCAAAAGGAAAACATTCACTGCCAGTGGAGGGGTGCATCCAACTCAAGGCTTTGCACATGCTAGGTAAACACCTTACTCATGAGCTGCCTTCCCAGCCGGAAAACATTTACCTGAGCATCACGACTCACCAGAACTGCTGCTTCACACTTAAGATCAATCCTGTGAACACAACCCAGTCCACAGCTACACTTTCTCCTGTAAAGAACCTTCTCCTTGCTCTGATTATTTGAGAGGGGCTCATTTAAGTTATCCCAGAAGTCAACAGGAGACATGTTGGTGATCAAATGAAAGCACCACTTTCTTAAAATATAAACTAAAAGGAAGCACAAGTACTGCTTCTAGTTCAGAGAATTACATCATCCACCAAAACCTGACTCTTTTTAAGTGGAAGACAGCACAGTGGACTACAGAAAAACCCCTACATTGTAAATGAGCACATTAGTTCTTGTTAGAACCAGTTCTCGCTTGCCTCTGATACAACAACTTGAGTGTAGACAACACCTAATGCAAATAATGGACAAACTGACCATTTTTCATCAGATTCTACTTTGCCAGGCCTCCAGATATCTTGTTCTTACTATGGGGTAGGAATCTCTCCCTAGGTCCCAAGCTCCTAAGGACTTTGTTTTAACTTCTCTATTAAAATTCCCAGCTAGCATGGCTCACTGCCATCAAGATAGGTTTTTACTTCTTTACGAACATCCATGACCCTGAGTGGGCAGGTATTACTTAGTCAACTCACACTGCGTCAAGTTCTAGCAAGATGAGGTCCCTCTTCTCAAATTCATACTGCGGTTTGGAAGATAAAATGGTTGTCTAACCAACAGAAGAAAGAGTCTTCCCTGGGATGTGGCACTTCAGCTGACACGTGAAGGATCCCAAGAAAGTGGCCACAAGAGGCTCAAGGCAGAGGGCCATGCGCTCTTGGTAGACCAGGTGTACACTGTAAAGTGATCAGGTTTGCACTGTGATCTCTCATAAACGTACCAGTACTAGCTCCTCTGAGACTCAAGTATGAATGTATTCACTGTCTCTACTGCTTTACTCCACTCTGCTTCATCTGACTTTCCAGCCCCTGAGGGCTGGGGATTTAGCTCAGTCGGGGCGGGGCGGGTGTGTGTGTGCGCGCGGGGCACAACTCTCTATTGTTACCAACAACCTTCACTTGTCAAGTCTACCTGGCCCATTTTGGCTTTTCTGTTACTGGCCTTTGTGTCTGTGCACTGTGCTTACTTTCCTGTAAGTCTCCTGAAGGCTTTTCCAGTGACCAGCAGCAGTCAGGAGAGAAAGGAAAGCAAAGACCTCTCCCCTAAATCAGAGAGGGTGCTCTTTGATCAGTATTTATATCGTCTTGGCCAGAAAACTGTCATGTGAAAACAAAACAGTGAACTGACAGAGAAACTGAAACAGTGGCACTTTAGCCTTCTCTGTCACCTCAATGGCCTCCCCCTCCCTGGCGCACTTTTCACAACTGGGCCATCCCAAGCATATTTCTTGGGACCTGTCAGGGCCTTGGCATCATTTCCACTCAACTGCAACACCCAAGCAAAGCTTTCATTTCCACGTTTAAGACCACTTCATTGTTCTAGCTGCTAGAGCCAAACAAAGCAAAACAAAAACAAAAAATTGAGTTATCTGGTTCTCATACAACAAACTTAACCTATTCATTTGTCAATTCTGAAACATCTAATTCCATCCACTTCCTCTAGCCTCTCCACTACTGTCCCTACGAACATTCTCACTGGCAACCCTGCCTCCGCTCTTTCCCTGTTCTGAACCAATCTCAGGCAAGCAGATATGATTTGATCACATCACTTCCCTGCGTAAAAGCCTACAGTGATATCCACCAATAGGAGACTAAGGTCCAGGTGCTTTAGCCTGGCTTCTGCCTCCAGATCTGGGCACATCCTATGCCAAAGCCCTTGAACCCACAGGACTCAGGGAAGATGGTGACTTTCTCTGTGAAGTTCAATATGAAGTGATTCTCCTATACCCACACGAAGCTTTCTGTTACTATAGTAAATTACTTCAGATAATCAACTTAAAAGGAGTAAAGGTTAATTTTGGCTCAGGATTTCAAGTATGGTACATGGTTAGTTGGCCCTGCTGTTTTGGGTTTGTGTCAGCAGAGTACATCATGGCAGGACTATGAGGTGGAGGAGGCCTGTTCACTTTCCGGCAGGCAGAAAGCAAAATGACAGGAAAGACGTGAGGGTCCCAAGTCCAACAGCACATCCCCCAGTGACCTATCGTCCTCTCACTAGGCCCTACTACCTCCCCACAGCACCACCAGCGGGTGACAAAGCCTGTAAACACTTGGGTCTTTTGGGGACATTCAAGAGCTGCATCAGTGATGGTGACCCTTTTAGAGATGAGCACCCAAACTGCAACCGACAACACACTCATTTATTGCCAAGTGCCAGCACTGCAGTTAAACCTGAATACTGAGGTTTTAGTTTAGAAAAAACAACTCATACGTTAACATCTTTTGTCTTAAAACACAGTAACACGTGTGCCACAGGTTCACCACGACTGACCTAGACTATAGCAACCAGCACACATTGTGTTGCATTTTAAATATGTACTTCTTTGTCTGCATTCTTCATAAGATTATAAGCTCTGTGGCCAAAGTATCTTCCTTTTCTTTTTTGTTTAGTACCTTAAGTGATAGATGTTTTTAAATGTTCTAAAGAGCAATTATAGTAACACCCTTGTTGTCAAACTCAATACATTCTCAATTCATGTTCAAACAACAAAAAGTTTGAGAACTGAACATATTTTTCCCATAATAATGGGAAACCAAATAATTGGTTGAGGTCCCAAATACACTTATAAATTAATTTTTCTAGGACTTTAATACATTTTGCAATGACTTAACTCCATCATAGTTCTCACAGTTTTCCTCTTAGCTTTACTGCTGATATCACTAACTTTCTTTGGAGCCACACTGACCATAATTTATGCAAATAAAGTTTAAAAAAAGGCACAGTGACTTGTAACAGAGTAATACAAGCACTGTGTGTTGTCTGGGTGAGAGTGCTGCTTGGGCTGAAGCGTCACTAGTTTGTGTCTGCAGCAAGACACTCCACCTGACTCACTCAGCCTGTGTAGGTTCTTCTCAAGTTTGGGTTTTTAGTTTGACTATCAAGCAAAGTAATGAACACTGAGCAGATTTTTTCAAACTCTGCAGTTTTGAGTAATGGAAAGTTCAAGGTTGGAGCCGTTCAACAACTGAGGTATGGATCACTGTATTTTCTTATTACAAACCTACTGTAAGAAACACAACCCTTAAAAAGCTACTTAGAAGAAAGCACGATTCTATCAGTAACATACACTAATAAAAACTTAAAAAGCTACTTAGAAGAAAGCACATGATTCTATCAGTAACATATACTAATAAATCTACTTTTTAATTGATAAAGAGTTAACAGTAGGGCGATTTAAGATCCACTTCAAAAACTAATATGGCTGTTCTTAGTTACCAGAGCACTACTCAGTAACATTCATCTGCAGTAGCTGATCCACTTAGACACTGCAGTTAGAAAGTGCCAGAACAGCTGCACTGATACATATAGGTGGTTTTGCTGTTTGATTTCTGCTTTAAAGGACAGGTATTTTATATTTCCTATCTTGGCCCCAGGGATGGAGTTTCCTAACTTGCCTCAGGCTCTTCTTGGTTATATGCTAAATGTCAATGATCTTTGTACTATTCTTGTTGCTTTTTCATTTGATTCTTTGTTTCTTCTATTGCTTATTTCCTATTATTCCTTTGCCATTTTTTGTTTTAAGCATTTAGAAAACACCAACCACAAACAGTGCTGTTTTCCTTTTCAACACGCACATGCTTTATTTCTTCCTAGTTCAAGCTCCTTCTCTAAGACTTCTGAGTTCTAAAGTTTCAGGCTGCCTGTTGGCTATTTCTGATTAAGGCAAGAGTTAACCACTCTTGGAAGTGAAGCCTAGACTATTTCATTAGCTGAAGAGAGGAGCCTTTTTGTTTTTTACTGTGGCAGGCACTGTCAGGTTAACTGCTTCAAAGTATTAACGTTTCAGTACTGTGTTTTCAAGAAATATGTCGAGGAGCTAGCGATGTAGCTCAGTGGTAGGACCCTTGCTCAGCATATACAGGTTGGATCCACATCAATAACAAAGTGAAAAGGTGGCAAATCAGAACTGAGAAATTTAAATCTCAGAACCATTATCATAAAAAAAAAGTCACTAATCTCAGGCCTCACTAATAAAGCCAGCTTAAGCCAGTGTACCTCAAATAGTACTTGTCCCATACAGAGGACAAAATAGAAAGCCCTAAAAACCTGGACAGCATCATGACAAACCCCAGGAGAAGGGACAGGAAAAAAAAAAGGACAGGGTAGGGGCCTCTGGCACCTCGCACTATCAGGGTCAAGTGGATTGAAGCTAGTATTTCAAAGCCAGAGGTTATTAAATAGACCCTCACCTGAATATGTTGCATGGGTTAAAGTGAAGATGAAGTAGACAAAAAAGAACATACCACATTTAAGTTAGACCTTTCCTAGCTCTTCAATGTCACCTGCAAACTTAATGTTCAATTTTTAAAGGTGCCAAAGTAACAAAGGATTTTTAAAATTCTGTTAGTCTTCCTTTATAGCTCAGAGATCTCAAAAAATCCTTTTAAATGTATTTCACCAAAAAAAAAAAAAAAAAAAATCTCATTTAATGAGATTTAATAAATCCCATGATTTAAAAAACCCTTTGGATAATTTATGAACTACTAAAACGGTAAAGGAGCAAACACCTTCAGCTCTTAGCACATTTTAAGTGGTACTATCTTTCACATCCGGTAGTGTGTTTTTTTTGTCAAGAAATTTATTAGCCTTTACAAATACTATTTTCACTCAATCATTCATAAAAAATGATTTATGATTAAATCTGTAATAAAACCATATAACGTTCATCAATGCATTCAGTAGGACCATTTTCATTCATGGAACATAATAAACCACTTTAAAACAGCAGTTTTCATTCATGTCATGTAAGGCTGTCAAACTAAAAGGATTCTTTATAATGAGTTGTCATCCAAGAAACCCACTTCACTTCATGTTATGTGGTGAGACCAATGGATATATCCTCTTAAGAGTGGAATCTGAAAGTAGGTTCTACCTCTCTGTGGTCACGTTTTCAGTCTCTCAAACAAGTTTCACAACAGGAAAATATTTGTGAACAGAGAAATCAAATTCGGGAGGAACCTGTAAACAAATCGGAAAGTCAGTGTTATCTACAAGAAATCACACAACAGAATAAGCACTGTTGGCCGGGGATTTAGCTCCATGGTTCTGCTGCCAGCCTTGCAAGCAAAAGGTCCTGAGTTCAATCCCCACTAACCACCGCCTCCCCCGCAAAAAAGAAGCACTGTTTTTAAAGTTTTCTTTGTTTTTAGATACAAAACAGCACAAAAGATTTAAAAGTTGATTTAGCTAGGTGTGCTGGTGCATGCCTATAATCCCAGCACTTGAGAGGCTGAGGCAAGAGGATCACCAAAAGAGGCCCTGTATCAAAAAACTAACCAAAAATCAAAAACCAAAAAAGCTGATTTAATGTCAGGAAAAAGGCAAGAACTAACCTGGAGAAAAAGTGATCAACTTATTTCTGGGCTTATGAAGGTCATCAGAAAACACACTGACTGCCTGTTTTCTACCTTCAGAGAAGAAAAGGAAAATGGACTTATACTATAGGATAAAGCCCAAATTAGGTTAGGGGACAGCAAAGTTTTTCATTTGAGTCAGATAAGACTCAGTAAAGGAGGGCAGGAGAGAAGCCAAACACAGAAAAACAACGGGAGTAAACAAACAGGGTTGGACATAATGACAGAGTACCTCAGCAGCTGGCTTCCTTCACAAGGCGGGACTTGCTTTCTAGCTAACAGGCTACTGTTACCCTGATGGCATAAACATGACCAAGGAAAACCTAAACATCCCATCTTCTGAGCCACTATAAAAAAAGGCTTTCATTATTGAGGGGTTCAATTTCACAAAGCTAGGTGACTGTTACATACCTCAGAGTCCTCCCATTAATTGGTTTTTACAAACTTTTTCTCCCCAAGTTGGGGAAGACAGACATTTTAAGTCACTAAATACATGTCTCACGGTAAAATGGCAAGTTTTATTTTTGCTGCTAAATCTTTAGGATTTTTGTTCAGTGTTTAATTTTTTATGCATCTCATTAAAAATTTTAAATTTTATACTAATTTCCCAACAATGTACTTGCCTTGGACTCCTTTTTGTGTCCTCCTGCCAATAACTTCATAACCACAAAATTGGGTTTGGCAACCTTTAAAATTCTACTGACCTAAAACACAAACATTAAATTGTCGTATCAGAAAACTCATGATCACATTTTCTTTATCACAGAAACAGACGGGAACCCGGCATAGTGCAGCGCTGACATTTGAAGGAAGCACCTTCCAACACGGCCCCACTTCAGTCAGCTCCGACCCCGAAAGGGCTACTGGGTCGCTCGTGGGTCAGGCAGCAGAGGGCGGCACTCAGAGCACCGACACTGAGATTAGGCTTTGCCGGAGACTTGCTGTGTTCTCTAAACCTTCCTGCTCCACAGTCCCGTCCCCCACAAAGAACTGCCGGAAGTGATACTCTGGTCAGTGGCAGACCACGACGGTATGTGTGTGACAGTGGTTCTGAGAGACCCCGCCTAGAGCTGCTTTAGTTCGCGTAAGCGACGTACAGCAGCAGCTTCGCCCTCAATGCATTTCTCCACACACGACCTCGCCCTGAAGTGGTGCATGAGTGTAGTGAGAGCTGAGAACCACGCCTGCAGGTATTGGTGTCCTTAGACTACCGTTACTTTTGGCTACCACGTATCTAAAAGGTTTCCAAGAACACATGACTAGCAATGGAACGGAATGCTGGATTCCTCTCAGACATCAATCCAAGAAGTCCCCAGTGCTGCCTCCTTACTGCCGTCTCCAGAATAACAAGCTCAGGACCAGTTCCTTCTCAACTCCAGAGAGGCATCCAACTGCCTACCTGACAGTTCCATTTACATGCCCAATGGGAAGGTCCACATCTGCCTGGCCAGCTGCTCCCACTCACCAGCAGCCTTGCTACATGAATCAACCCATCCGGCTGCTAAGGCCAAAAATCTTCAAATCCTCCTCGAGTCCTCTCTTCCTCTAACATCCCACATCTAATCCATCAATAGTCCCGAAGGCCAGATCTTAAAGTACACAGAACTGCCAAGTCCTTAAAAGCATTCCACTACTGTACAGTACATAAAGATCTTCCTTTCCCTAAAGACTGTGGAGCACCTCACTGAAGCATGCACAATTCACGCAGCAGACCCCTGCAGACAAACACTAAAATCTCCTTTTTTGGCACTACAAAGCCTGCTGCAGCGATTCTACCTGTATTCGCACTTCCCTCACGTCCTATACATGCATATGGATCTAGAAGATAAAGCCCAACACAGCACTGCTGGGTCTAAGCCTCTGTGGGTTTTGACAGATACTGGTATATCACCCTTTCATGGAAGAGGTATCACGACATACTCCCTAAAATGGCACAGTATCTGTTATAGGCAATTATTTGTACAAAAACTATCTCAATAAATAATCTTAAGGATACAGCAAATTATTAAAACATCAAAAGCTATTTTCAAAGATTATTTGGGTATCTCAAAGTCTTTAAAAGCAAGTCAAGTGGAAAATGTTCCTGTGTTAACTGACCAGATTATTTTTCAAAATTAGCACTTAAGAGTAGATTGGCAAAGCCATTTGAGATCCTTGACAAAAACATGACAGGTCCTGCTTACTAACAAGATAAAGTTCGTTATTTTAACTGCCTTTCATCTAGTAGTAAGGTTATGTTTCCTGCCCCTAGAATTATAATACAATGAATCCAGTCTTACCTCATGGTCTGGGTTGGGGATATTTTCCAATATCATTTTTGCCTGCTGAAAGTGCTTACTAGCTGCCACATACAGTTCTGGAGACTGAGGAGGTGGGCTATACTTATTGAGGTCAGACATTTCCTAAAAACAAGTTGGAACATTATTCAAAATATGTTTAATGTGAAAAACTTTTAATTCTTACAGAAATCTACACTATCCATTCACATTAAGATACTGAAGCAAAGATTCAGCACATCTATATTTCTCTACGTTAACTCAATTTTCAATGCTTATAAACCATCCCATAATCTCATTACTTAAATGACTGTGACTAGCTAGTACATCCATCAAAGCAAATATTTTCCACACTAGTTCAAGTTGCTGTTTTTACACCGGTCCCAGTCATTCTGACTACATATTGTAGCAAGACGGCAAGGTACCGAGCACATTTCTAAGAAGGTGTAAGGCTAAAGATCATACAGTGACCTCAGTGTGCAGCTTCACCTTGAACTGTAGGTAGTGCACTGGTGGCGGGGTCATCACACTGCTGAAGGGGGCAAATCTGTGCTCGTACCGGACTTGTTCACTGTCGAGCTCGAATTTGGGTTTGCGTACTTTGCCATCCATGTCGAACGCTACCATGGTCTAAAGAAAAAAGAAATGCGGAAATGGAGGAAAGCAACGTGGCAACACGATCATCGTCACACACAGCAGAAAACAGAAGCCTAGCTATGTATGTATAGTTAAAACAATTTATGAGGGCTGGGGATTTAGCTCAGAGGTTCTGCCGCCTGCCTGGCAAGCACAAGGACCTGAGTTTGATGCCCGGTACCAAAAACAAAACAAAATTAAAAAAAAACCCCAACAACAAAAAAAAAACAATTTATGGCTCAGCAACCAGAAACAGAGATAAACAGCTTCTTGGTATTCATTTTTGTGTGCTATGTTTTACACAAAAAATTTTCAAGCTCTGGCACTCACTGTATCACTGTTTTCCCAGGGACAGTATAAGGTGTACACATTTTTCTTCCACGCCTCATGCTTTTACAATAGCTCTGAAACCTTCAAGTAAATGCTTCTCAGGAACAACTAACATATTTAAGTAGGTCATATTTTTCGAATATCCTCTTTTACTTCATACATCTTAATATAAACTGCTTCTAGTCATTTCTTAGACTGCCAAGTACAACTTAAATTAGTCCTCAGTTCCTGCTGGAAATGCCTGCTTTTTCCAACATAATTTGCAGTGGAACCTTATGCATTCCTAAAAAGCCCCAGTCCTCCCTCCATGAATAAGCTCTTCTCTTACCACCTGTGCCACAGGTTTGTCAGCTGACCGTCTGGCATCAACTAGGCCTGTGTGAAACAAGGACCAACTGACACAGGGTCTGACACATGGCCATAGTTCAAATGCTTGTTGGAAACGACTAGACTTGAAAAAAGGGTAACCTTCAAGTAACATGGGAAATAAAATGAAGAACTCCACAACTTACTTTGAACATTCCAGCACACATGTTCTGATATGCTTGGCTCATTGTGATCTCCCGGCTCAACGGGCGAACTGAGAGAGACAGAAAACCTTTATTGCTTTTTCCTCCTGCCTCTTACATTATCATAGGAAAGAAAATTTCTTTAATCTTCCAGCTTGTTTACTAATTGTATACTTTAGTTGCCCCTACCACTAAAATTTATCTTGTGACCAAAATCTACAAATGAAATACAACTTAAAAAACTAAATGGTTATGTTCTCAAAATAGCTAATGTTCTAAAAGTCATATGAAGTAGTTTTAAACTTCTCTAAATTTACTTTACAGAGACTCAACCCATTAATACAATTATTTACTAATCTACTCAACCTGTTTATCTTAAGGAAACAGCGCACAGTATTGTGAATGACCACAGCATTATGTGTACCATCCCTAAGGGAGCAGACATTTCTCACGTCACGGGTCTTGAACCCTGAGTCAAGTAGCTTTGTGGGTCACTGTCCCACACTCAATGTAACAGCACAGCTCCAGACCAAGCCAAGAGCCTGCTGAGCCTTCAGCTGGACAACCAACTCCTGTTGTTTTGTTCTGAAACCTAACTTGCTGCATATGACTAATTCTTGATCTAAAAACCTCTCATACACAGAATAGCAAAGAAAGGAACCAGAAACACGCCTATTACCAACGCAGGACTCAATTTCTGAAGGGATGATGGATGAAGACTATACTATAATGACTAACTCATCCATCACAATTCACAAGGAGGTCTCTACCGATTTGGCTGTCAAAAGTAGAGTACACTCATGCTCTTAATTTCTTAAATTTAAGAGCCGTCCACAGCACCTTTCTTTTTCTTCTTTGTTTTTTTACTGCTCCGGCCTTTCTGCTGCTCTTCCATTATCCTTTCCTCTGCCATTTGCGAGCCATCAGCACGACTCAAAGTGGACATCAACCACGCATAAAGGAATTCAGAGAGATACCTTAAGGAATACAGAATGCCAGTTAACGGGACTAAGTAACACAGCTTTATCAATATGTGCTACTAATAACAGTATTTTCTTTAGAGAATTGAAACCAGGGCCTCAAGCCCACTAAAGCCCCTACTCTACCACTGAGCTCACACCTTGAGCCCCAAATGGATACATTTCACAAGGCTTTAAGCACTTAAAAAAAATTACCCAATTTGGTAACAGAGTAAATCTTATAAGAAATGAAGATTAAAAGTGACTGTCTTATCCTTTCTACATTTTAAACTTTTCAAGACTTGATAGTTATATACATAAAGTCAAACAGCTGCTCATTAAACTGTTTTTTAATAATAGGGCGTATTTTGCCAGGTGTGGTGGCACATGCCTGTAATCCCAGCACTGGGGAGGCTGAGGCAGGAGGATCCCTATGAGTTCAAGACCAGTTTGGGCTACACAGTGAGTTCCAGGTCAGTCTCAACGACATAGGAGACCCTGTCTCAACACACCGAAAAAAAAAAAAAAAAGAAAGACATATTTCACTTTGGTCATTCTTTGCCCGTTAATCACAATATATGTAAAGTGAAGCAAATAAATTCAGAAAATGATAAAAAATTACAGCATTATACAAAACCATTCTAAAAAATTAAAAACATTTAGGCTTGTAATTTACCTGTTTATTCAATAAATAAAATGTAAAGGAATATTCTATTGGCTGCTTAACTTTCATAAATATAAACTAATCAACATATTCTACTAAGCCAGAAAAGTAGTTCAAACCTAAGATATCAAAATATGTATCTTTTGTAATATAATCAGTAATAAATTAAGGCCCACTACTTACAGTATGTAAAAAGAAAAGATTTGCAAGCAGTTTTATGATTCAGTTTGAATATATAATGCCTAATTCCCAGACTTCCCAGAAAGATGTTTGACAGGTTATAATATTAAAATTTATTATAAAATAGTATCTTAAATCAAGTAAAAAACTATTCAAAGACATACACTATTTAGGCTGAATTGATGCCAAACCAAACACTATGATTTCTTGCAGTTAAGGCAAAAAGGGAAATAAACCTTTATCTAGTCAAAGAAAAGCATGTAACTTCATGTGGAGGGAATATAGCTCCTGGCTCTGAATTTAGGAAAAGCATTTATTATAATATTCTTTCACAATACATAAATGAACTTTTTTTCCACTACAGTATGAACTCTGAGGCTCTATAACCTGTACCTTAACTTGAGGAAAGATTAACTCTATTAGGAAATAACAATGCTTTCTGTCTTCAGATACCCTGACTTAAGCACAAAGGCACGAAGCACTAGCTGACAGGATTCAGGTCTGTCTTTCCTCTCAAATACCAGATACTGTATCAAAGTGAAAACACAATCCAATCTAAACAGCTAGAATGCTGATATTCTGGTTCTCAAATGTCATCTCTGGGCCAGTGGCAGTATTCCCTGGAAACTAGTTAGAAAGGTTGGCTGGTGCCCCCTAGACCTCCTGACCCAGGCAGGGTATATAGGGACTGAGCCCAGCAAGTGATTATGACACACGCTAATGTTTGAGGGTCACACACAAAAGACCCAAAAGATTATTTGGGGAAACTGTATGTGTCTACTCTGTAATTTTAAAATCAAAAGCAATTCAGAACATGAAGACTACAAGAGTATTTATAGGGAAGAATTAAAATGTCTTTCATTAATAAGAAATCAAATTGCTTATGTATGTAGCTAAAACTGTAACAAAGTACCTATTAAACATTTGCTGGTTTAAAATCCTAATTCTATGAACAAAGGACATAACAAAATTGTATTTTGATCTGAGAAGTGGAGAGAAAAATCTTGCAATTAGTTTCAACTCATAAGAACTCTAGCATGTTCTCCTTTTAAAATTAACAGGAATATATACTATACAGTAATAACAAAATGTATCCCCAGTAGTTATGTAAACAACCAACCACTAACAGCTACTTGGTATTATCTTTATAAACACTGAAAAATACACAAGTAACTATGATCGTATTACTATAGTCACTGCTCAAATACACATTTTGCTAAGATTTATCTGTTAAAAACTCTTGAGGCTTTCATGATTACAAAAAAAAAAAAATGACGTCAACAAGCCGGGCGTGGTGCCACATGCCTGTAAATCTCAGCACTCAGAGGCTGAGGCAGGAGGACTGAGTTTGAGGCCAGCCTGGACTACGCAAGACCCTGTTTTTAAAAAAAAAAAAGATGTCAATAGAGAATTAGTTTTTTCCTCTGATACTGACTCCAGAGAATATGTATTTTAAGTTCAATTTAATGAGTCTAAAAGGAAAACTACATTAAAGTCAAATATACCAAACTTAGATGTGCTAGGGAACACAAGTCACCCATCACTAGTTTAAAACTGCTTCCCTCCTCTGCCAGTTGCCACTCTGATTCAAGATCCTTAATTCATTAACGATTAGTTTTCTTACACTATTCTGATAGCTTCTGCCTGCTAGGTTTTTCTAGCTTGCTCGCCAGTGAAAGGGAAGAACCATCCCACTGACTTCCCAAATCACTGAAGCAAAGCTCTGGGGCCAAAGTTTAATCAGCTCCCCTCCCAGTGATTAACCTGGCTATGATTTCTTCTAAGGAGAACATGAACTTTCAGTCTGTCATGTACATACATCTACCACCTAGTGCCACTGAAGTCAGAGCAAAGTGATCATTTTGGATCTTGTTTTCTGCACTGCTCAGGCTGGCCTGGAATTCACGAGCCTCAACCTCAGCCTTTCAAGCACCTGAGATTACAAGCATGTACCACCACGCCCACCTTGTAAAATGTGTTAATTTCTCTCCACAGAAGCACATAAAAGCTCTCCAATTAATCCGTACTTTTGGGAACCACTTTATTTTTACATAAATATTAAAATGGCTGGGAAAACATGTATTCTGGAAGTAAAGATGTTCAAGTTGACCTAGCTCTTATTTTCCCAACTGTCCCATAACTAAAGCTAAAATACACTAAATGAAAAAATGAAATCAGTTTATTTCACAGACACTCTCTCAGATCTTATCCACTTCACAGACCACCAAGAGCCTAACTAAATCTGTTCTCTTACCAGTATATGTAGTAATACTCATGCATGCTGTAGAGTTCCAATTCAAAGCCACTTAGAAGATACTGTATCATGATTCGAAGGCTGTGATAAAGGACCCACGTCCCTAAACAGGCCAAATGTTGCCTTTGGGGTTCTTGTTTCAACAGCATAGTGTGAAGCGCTGCATCCACTTTCTCTGCCTATCAAAATAAAATGTAATATTGACTTCCTTTTATGCAGTAGAGAATTTTTAAATATGAACAGAAAAGCTGGCTGTGGTGGGGTCCACCTATAATCCCAGCTTCCTGGGAGGCTGAGGGAAGACCACAAATTCAAGTCCAGCCTAGACAACTCTAACTTAGTGAGACCCTGTTCTAAACAAAAAAATAGAAAGGGTTGGCATGGAGCTCAGTGTGAAGGCCCCTGGGGTTCAACCCCCAGTAGCACCACCAGCACCACAGAAAGAAAGAAATAAAAAGCAAAACAAAACAGGGCAGAAGATTTAAATCTCATCCCTAAAGGAATCAAATGCATATTTTCAGATGCATTTTATTAGGTTTGCATGCAAAGATCACATTTAATAACAGTAAATGTCTTTTTTTTTAACTACAAGAGTGTTTGGAAAGTTATCTCTTTAAAAATACATAACTTGGGATGGACAAGGGATTTAGCTCAGTGGCACAGCAACTGCCTTGCAAGTGCAAGGTCCTGAGTTCCTTCCCTGGTATCTATCAAAAATAAAATATATGACTAAAGGTCTTTAGTTAAATTATTACTTAATATTGCTGGTGCTGTTCACAAGTTAACTTTAAGGGGTATGGGGAAAAAAATAAGAACCAAGACCTGTCATGTAAAGGTACAAGATCCCAATGATGAATGTAACTGTGATGTATACCTAAAAAGTACCAATATACTCAATGAGAAAAAAAAAAAGTTAACTTTAAAACAAATATATTTTATTACAATATAAACTTGGTACAAAACTAAAGTTCTAAACACATTTCATATTTTATCCTGATTATCAAAGAAATTACTTAAGATATTTATTAATCTAAATTATTCTTTTCTTATAAACACTTCTTTAGTATGTGAAACCATTAAATTTTAAGTGAAAAGCTCATCATAATGAAAAATTAAATATTCAAAGTACTGTTCCAAAGAATTGTTTTTAAAAATCTAGACAAAGTCTGTGAATTGCTTAATTTTAGAACGAAAGGAATGTGACTCTTACCTCATCCTGCAAGGTAGCAAACTCTTCCAGAATATGTCCAAGCTTATCTCTCTGCCGAGCTCTGTTATGTCCATGGATCTGAATAAGACTACAAAACGGCTGGAATACACATAAAATCTCTTCACCATCAATGTGAAAATTTCCTTGAAGAACAACATTCCTAGTTTTCAAAATCTGCTTTAATGGAAAAGATCTTCCTATAAGAATTATGCCTATGTAGTTTTTGCTTTTTTACACAAAACAAATATTGTTTTTCAGGAACTCAACACCAGAATTTATCAGAAACTAGAAAAAGTTGGCTGTTTGTTAAACTTGTTTTCATACAGCAAACAAATCTTCCTTCAATCATTAGATACCATCGTGTAATTTCGAGAGGACAACTGTTCTCTTTGTTTTAAGCTAAAAATTGTTGATTTTTTTTTTTTTTTTTTTTTTTTTTTTTTTTTCTCGGGG